CTCTGCGCCCCCACCCTGCTTCCCAGCAGCCTCCTCCCACATACTGAACCCCTCATTTTGGCCCCACCTAAGAGCCTAGAAGTACCCCACATAATCTACAAGCCCCAGGTTCCCAGAAGAGTTAATCTGGAAACCCTATGGCTTGAAGCACAGAAAAATCAGCCAGGGGCCACATGCAAGTGAAAAGCCACCAAAAAAACCCCACCAAAAATTAAACAAAAAAACCCAACCCCCTCCCCTCACGAATTAAAAACCTCTCACAGATGCAGCCCCTGACTAATAAACAGAAAAAAAAGAGACACTCATCTCACTCATTCAACTCAGGGAGCCAGGGTTCTCTCAGGGTATGTCTACACTACCCCGCTAGTTCGAACTAGCGGGGTAGTGTAGACATACCCTGAGAGAACCCTGGCTCCCTGAGTTGAATGAGTGAGATGAGTGTCTCTTTTTTTTCTGTTTATTAGTCAGGGGCTGCATCTGTGAGAGGTTTTTAATTCGTGAGGGGAGGGGGTTGGGTTTTTTTGTTTAATTTTTGGTGGGGTTTTTTTGGTGGCTTTTCACTTGCATGTGGCCCCTGGCTGATTTTTCTGTGGGTCAATGGCCTCCAACCTGAAAAAGGTTCCCTATGCCAGTTTAAACCATGATTGGAGGATTTCAGTAACTCATCCAGAGATTGCTGAGGAGGGAAGTGGGTGAGGTTCCGTTTTGTGCAGTGGGCGGGAAGTCAGACAGCATGATCACAGTGTTCCCTTCTGACCTTAACATCTACGAGTTTATGAAAAGGAAGGGAAGAGAGTGTTGCCGACTCTTTGCAATTTTGATTCAAGTTTCGCAACATCTGCTGTATTTGTTTTAAATTCATTCCTTTGGGGGTTACTCGATCACATGAGAATCTTGGCTTTTTCTTTTTTAAATAAGTTGCAATCCTCATGGCTGCTGGAAAAAAAAAACTCTTGAAAATGCTTGATCTGAGGATATCCAGAAAACAAAAAGCAAATAAAAATAACCCCACATGTATTTTTAAAATATTTTAAAGCCAGTTTCATGAGTTGTAAATACTTGGGATTGGCAATACTGGAAGATAGACATTGAAACAATTTGAAATGGACTCTTCCCATGTGACAGGGATGTGACCACATCCTAGGCTATGTGATCAGGCCAGGAAATAAAAAACAGTCTTTGACCAGCACTCCACCTGAGAACACTTAATCTACACTTGGTAGGGGTGACCAAAATACTCGCAGAGAATGTAGTGCAACTAATTGGATTTTCCCTAGCAGTTGAGATATTTCATTTCCAGCCTTTCTGTGTTTGTTACCAAACTGACTGCATTCCTCTTTTCTTTGTCCTCTGTGAGTCACAAACTGTCAGTGATGTTTTTGGGAGTGGGGAGGAGAGTGGGCTACATATGGAAAATATATTTTGTTTCATAATTAATGAAAACCAGACTTTGGGATGTTGGCCATCCAGGTCTTTATTTATATGAGAGCATATGTCTGTGTTGTGTTTATGACTCACTGCGACTTCTTGCATTGTAACTTGGGTTTGTTTATGCAAGCTCTTTGTGGAATCCAAGCAACACGGTACTATACGAGCAAATAATTTATGTTCTCCAAAGGGGGAAGACAATGAATGAGTTTTTTATTTTGAAACTGGTCTATCCCAGAGCAAGCAAGTAATGATTTCTGCCACTTGACTGTTCCTGGTTATCTACAGAAAATACTAAAATAGTACTTCATTTTAAACTACCGCTAGAAGGATTGGGCTGTTATCCATGAAGGGAATGATAACCCCCAAGTGAACCTTTTCTAGAAATCTTGGCTGCTTTTGAAACTTCCAAGATTTCAAACCCAAACGACTGCTTGGCAGTGAGGTATAAATTAAGTTTGCAAGTAGACACAGACCAAGGTTAATTGAGTGAAATATATTTTATTCTTGACTGCAGAATCCGGAATTCTCCCGTTTCTTTTTTGTTAGTGCAGAACAGTTAGGACTAAAAGGAAAGCCACTTATTTTCAGTAGCTTCATCAATACATTCAGTTTCATCCATAAAGGGATGGTCAGTTAGTCAATGACCTGTGAGCAAGTTAGGAACTGTGAACAGAAGCCCCCATCCAGTGAAGAACAATTAAACTATTTAAGAAAGACATCAAAGATCTAGCATCTTAAGCAAAGGACCAGGAGCCAGAAACTGCTGAGTTCTGTTCTGAACTCGAATAATGACTCACTGAGTGATCTTGGACAAGTGACTTAACTACGGTCTTAGATTCTGATCTAAGTTAGAGTGATCTGAATTAACAGAAAGGACTTGATCCAATGCCCATGGAAGTCAATGGGAATTTTTCCATGAACTGCAAGAAATCTTGGATTAGGCCTTGATAACTTCGCAGTCAATGGAGATAAGTCAACATAAAGCCCGCTGTTACGTGTGACCCATGCAACCCCACTGATGCCAAGAATCCCATTCAAGCAAATACAGAATTTAGCCCTCAGTTGGTTGGCACTGTTATTACTATATTTTTAGGTATACAAGCAACATTTTACTGATTTTTAAACTGGCAATATTAGTACCAGATTTTTTTAAATGCATAATTATGTAAGGACAAAATACTTTAGAACACATTACAAATTTAATAGTAAAACAATATCTTTTATTATAGGTTCTTACATGGCTCCAATTGCAATAATGTTTGGGCACTTCACAATCTCTTATGTGTATATATCCTGACAATACATACGTTAAGCAAGAAAGTACTTTTACCCCCATTTTACAAGATATATGGGCCTACTGGGGTTTTAAAATGCACCTAGGCATCTAACATTCATTTGTTTTAATGGAAATTAGGTACATAGGTGTTTGTGAAAATCCTGCGAGGAACTTAATTGCATTTGTCCCAAAATGACTTATCACATAGGGAGTTTTTGGTACAGGGGGCACTTGTGCCTAAGTCTCTAGGCGTATGTCTACACAGCAACATTATTTTGAAATAACTAGGGTTATTTAGAAATAACATAGTCCTCATCTACACAGCAGGCAGTGATATTGAAATAATGTCAAAAAACTGTCAAGCTGGAGGACTTCTTACTCCAACTCCTATAACCCTCATTATATGAGGAGTAAGGGAAGTCAGAGGAAGCGTGTTCTATATCGAAATAAGTGCTGTGTAGACACTCCCAATTTCAAAATAAGCTATTTTGAAATAAAGTACGCAATTGACATAGCTTGATTTGCGTTGCTTATTTGGAGTTACGCCCTGCTGTGTAGATGCACCCTAGAGTGCTAATCTAGAGTCCTAATCACTGGCTCCTCTTTCCTTTTGATATAGATTCTCAGTTTAACCTAGAAAAAAAGTATAGTAGGGGATTTGAATGACAGTCTTCCAGCTGAGTATTAACATTAGAAATTCTGGTAAGTTTTCGGATGTTTTTTCCCCAATGTGAAGAAATTTTCCATGTGCATCTTCACTTCATTGTTCTGCCCGGAAGACTAGTGCAGAAGCATTTTGAGAAAAGGTGTTTTAATGAGGTATTTTGGATGCTTCTCTTATTGTGTTTACTTAGGAATGGGTTTTGAGTTTCTCCCATCCACCAGATATTACAGAATGTAACTTACAAAGAAATCTACAATGATTCACACTAAAGAGACAGTATTTACTCACCGCTGCTGCTCTGGTATCCAAGAAATTACAGTAAAACTCCAATACTCCGGCATCCAATAGTCCGGCACTCCTCATAGTCCGGCATCAAAATGGCAAGAGCCTAGTGAGTAAGCTTCGGCAAAAAATGAGTCACAAGGTAACAGTGGCAGCAGCTGAACTGAGCAAAAAGGGTAAAAAAGGCTTAAAAAAACCTAAAACATTACAGTATACTGTATACAGTATGTACAATAAAAAGGGTTAAGAACACTTTATATACAGTATATAATGTATACAGTATATATATAACCAGCTTATAGTACCTCCTGATAGTCCGGCATATCTGATAATCCGGCACCACCTAGGTCCCATAGGTTCCGGATTATCGGAAGTCTACTGTAGTTACATTCTAAGTGTAGGTTTACTGTAGTACTGCAATGTGGCCACTGTTGTTGACTTTAGACTTTTTCTGTGTGATTGTAGCATAGGTAGCTCTCCATTTTATGACTGGCTAGTTCAGGTCTGCGTTTAGGGTGGTGCTATGAAGAAGCCCAAGCTGGGTAAGTGTGTCTGGGAGCCAAAGCGAACCACAAAGTCTTTGTCCACTGATTTAAATAACGTGTCTCCTTTTAGTCATTACAGCTGATTCTTGTCATTTCTGAAGTGCAATGGATACTGCAGTGACTATTGAAGGTCAGGATGAAGCCATCAAGTGTGCTGAATTGGTGGTGCGTGCTAGATTGGCGACCAGTCCTATCAAGGTTGACAACTGGTACATTAAATCAGTGTGGCGTTTCTTCTCTATCATGCCCTCCAATTCCACTGGAAGGCATGGGAGCAGGGACAGGAAACAAGTCCCTGCAGAACAGAGCTATATAACAGTGGGCTCAAAACAAGCCCGTTGTGAAACATATTGTAGCAAGTGTTTGGTGCTTTGGAGATTCACAAGTCATTAGGCAAAAGGGCTGAAAAGCAGACTGGCCACCGTACCCAAAAAGGTTGTTCAAGAGAGGACCCAACAATGGACAGATCTTTGAGGAAGGCTGTGTAGCCAGGATCCTAACGTTTTTCATCTAAACTGGCAATAAAGATGATAATAGTTGTTCTTGCATGGCTAATTCTGCCACTATAAGAAATAATCTTGTCGTCTTCTTCTTCTTAATTGCTTCTTCTATGCAGGTTTCCATCTTTCTGTCATTATTTATCACCATGCGTTCCTACTAATCATTGCATTCTGCCCTATTAAACATGTGCCTTCTGCCCTATTAAACATGTCAGCTTTTCACCTTCCTGAACATGGGAGGAGCGAGACAGTTTCCATTCATTTTTGTTTTAACAATGGATCTTTCTCTCCTTTTCTCCCAGCAGCCAGCTCATCGCTGAAAAAGAGATTCAAGCGTCGGGAAATCGAAGCAATCCAGTGTGAGGTGCGCAAGATGTGTAACTACACCAAGATCCTGTCCACCAAAAAGAACTTGGATCACGTGAACAAAATCCTGAAAGCCAAGCGGCTGCAGAGACAATCAAAGACAGGCAATAACTTCGTAAAGAAGAGGAGAGGGCGTCCCCGGAAGCAACCTTTCTCGTTTGACGAAGACTCTAGAGACCAAATGCCAGTTCTGGAAAAATGTGTTGACCTTCCCAGCAAACGAGGTCAGAGACCCACCTTGAATCCTTTAATACTGGAACAAGCAGCCAGTCAAGATACAGTCATGGCCACTATTGAGGCGGTAATCAACATGGCTCGAGAGACACCACCGCTTCCTCCTCCTCCCCCACCTCTTCCTCCGCCTCCCCCTCCCCTTCTTCCCCGGACACCACGAGTTGGAAAGAGAAAAAACAAACCACATCTGCAACAGCATCAAGAAGAGGAGGAGGAAGTGAAAGTGAAAAGGCACCGGAAAGCTAGAGGAAGTGAAAGCGAAGTTCTTCCCTAGTACAGACACATCCCTTGGAACTCCAGTCTTGGGTGCTGAGCACTTCAGGACCGACACACTGCAGTGCATAAGAGGTGTAGGTTCTGCCTGACATCTGCCGCAGCAATCAGAGTCAGTAGTGAGCCCATCCACTTTGCAGAGTGTCCAAAACAAATCAGCATCTCAGCATTGCTATTCTCGTATCTTGCGAGCAGAAAGCTCTCTTCTCAGTAAGCAACTCAGCATCATCATTCGAACGGCATACACAACTTAAGTTTTATTTGGTGGGTCAGGCAAAACTAAGAATAGCTAGAGCATAGTAGAACTCACTGTAAAAAAAAATGTACATCCACTTTGCAGAGTGTCCAAAACAAATCAGCATCTCAGCATTGCTATTCTCGTATCTTGCGAGCAGAAAGCTCTCTTCTCAGTAAGCAACTCAGCATCATCATTCGAACGGCATACACAACTTAAGTTTTATTTGGTGGGTCAGGCAAAACTAAGAATAGCTAGAGCATAGTAGAACTCACTGTAAAAAAAAATGTAAATTCCTCAACTGTGATCTTTTTATGATCTGTTTGAACTCATTTAATTTTTGAGTTTTATAAACCTGCTAGGCTTTGGGCACATCGTACTCCCAAATGGCCTGACTCTTAGTCTAAGGATACATTTTTTCCCTCAGTTATTTGCCTACTTACATAAGGATTAGCTGCAATAGACGCAATACACAAATACAGCCTTACATGCACATACACGCTCATTCCGAGTGCTATCCTGAGGAATGGTGGAATAGCATTGTGGTTAAAAATAAGGTGTACTTGGATAATCAGTAGTGGTAGCACCTTTGTGCTAAGCAACTTGTCACTCTCACTGGCATGTTAACAAAGTGGTCACCCGGTTGTTTTCATGCCCAGTACATAACAGCAAAAGAACAGCAAGAAACTTCTGGGGAATAGAAAATATTGCAGAATATGGAAAAAATCACCAAAAAATGAGGAGAGGGGGAGACAAGAGAGGTTTCAGTCCTACCTGTTCCCATCACGGTAACGTCCCACTGAAATCAGTGGGAATTCCAGGTGCAGAATGTTTTCGGGATTGGATGAAAACTGTAGCAATGCCTTGGTATGTTGTTTTAAAAGAAAATAGGTAAAGTAGGTTGTTTAAAAAATACAGAAAATAAAACCATATGAAGAAGTAAGTTATTTCTTGGCAATTACTTCTTAAACAAAAAAAAGGAATAAGTGTTCTTATCTGAAAAATAAAAAATAATGTTCAAAGGGTAGCACCACTGCAATTGTATTAATGCCACTTTGGACAAGTTCTCCAAGTTGTGGTTGCCTTAATAAACTAAAAAGTTTTTGTACATACTGTAATTACAAAGCTATCAGTCTGCATGGATGCAAACTGTGTGTGACAAATCGTCTCTTTAAATGGTCAGTTTAAATTGTAAATTTCTCATCCAAGTCGTAAATTTAGCCATTGATTTTAGTTTGGATAAAATACCTGATCTAAATGTCCACAGCCCAGTTAAAAACTTTAAGCAAAACTAAGACTGAAGATGAAACCTATTCTCTTGCAGTTATACTACTTTTCAAAGTCAGTTGATGACATTTTAGAACAGGAACTTTCAACTTTATATATTTTTTAATTCCTCCAAGATACTGAACACCTGGCATGGCAAGATTAATTTTAAAAGAGGAAGAGAGGGAAATTCCAGTGAGGGAATAGAAAGTGGAATTATTAAATGATTCCCTTGTTTGAAAAATCTTTGATGTGGCTCGTTGCCAAGGACATTTCAAATAGCATAACACTAAATAAATAAAAATATTAGTTCTCCAAAAAAGAGTTTCTTTTCTGTTCTTTATTTGCAAAATCATATCAAGACTATGGTGTTACAGGGACACTGTATACATAAAGCTCAATCTTTTTAAATGTTTATTTTTTTTAACTTCTGTTATAGCACCTTAGATTGTTCAAAATGAATGCATTTAAAAAAAAACTAGGGGCAAATTTTGTGGTCTTAACTCAGTCAAAAGTTTCATTAAAACACTGAAAAGGGCCACATGATTCTGTTCCTAATTTTTTTTTTGCACCATTTATTCTACCAATTTGCTTTTGTTGTTTCCTTTGCAATTCACACAACTTAGGAGTAGAGTGGTCAGTTTCTCATTCTGTTACCATTAGTTTTGCTTTTTTGCTCCTCGTGAACTAATACCGTGTTGCTCATTGAAGTTTTGGTACTGCAGAGAAATGTTTAAATTCCCCCCATCAGCAACTTTATTGGTATTTAATTGTTAAGGGACTATTTTCCCCTCACTTTGGCCTAAAATATTGACTGTCTCTCTTTATATGCAAAAGAAAAGTGTGTTCTTGTTGTCCAGGTAGATTGCAAATGGAAACGAATCCCAGCATTGACAGATTCTAGATCCATATTCAATGTTCTCTTTCCCCATTAGCATAACAGAGAGTTACGTGCTTAGAAAGTGGAGAAAAGGTCTCAAAGGGCCAAATTCCATATCTGGATGCCACAGGTGGGCCCTATTCTAGATCACACATCTCCTGAATTTGCATCCTGAATTCTGGCTGCCTCTACAGAGAGGCACGAGCGCGCTGACCCCATATATATAGACACCTCCCACCCCACCTCCAGGCACAATGTAGAGCAACTTCTATCTGTGCACTAGACTATGGAATCAGCTCAGAGTTTCTTGTCCCCAAGAGGGCAGAGTTGGTGGGCTGAGGGAATGATTTGAACCTGCCCCAGCACACTGTTGTTAACAAATGGAGGGACTATATAGTAAGGCTGCATCTAGACCGGCAAGTTTTTCCGCAAAAGCGGAAAAACTTGCCAGCTGTCTACACTGGCCACTTGAATTTGCGCAAGAACACTGACAATCTAATGTAAGATTGTCAGAAAAAGCCCTCTTGCGCAAATGCTTTTGCGCAAGAGGGCCAGTGTAGACAGGTAAAAACTGTTTTGCGCCAAAAAGCCCCGATGGCGATCGGCACTTTCTTGCGCAAAACCCTGTCTAGATTGGCACGGACGCTTTTCCGCAAAAAGTGCTTTTGCGCAAAAGCGTCCGTGCCAATCTAGACGCTCTTTTCTGCAAATGCTTTTAACGGAAACACTTTTCCCTTAAAAGCATTTCTGGAAAATCATGCCAGTCTAGACAGAGCCTAAGCATCCCATATTCAGAGTACCTAAGAGCACCTACACTCTTGTCTCCCTAGCAGTGCTCACATAGGAATAAAGGCACAATTTGGATACCTATTGTTGATCCCCACCAGTAGCTTCCAAAGAGTTTACAGTGACAAACCATCTAGGCCAAATTCTCTTTAACTAGCATGACTGCGGGTTTGTGTTTTTCAGTGCAAGAGCTTGCAATGGCACATGCTAAGAAGCCAGGATGCTCTGACCCAATACTGGCTGTTTCTCCAACCAGCATCAGAACCCTGCCATTATGGGCCGGTGGAAGATTAGCATGCTAATTCTTATAAAAGCAGGCAGAAAAGATGGCTCGGTGGCACTCAGCGTTTGTGTTCTGCCTGTTGCATAGTCTATAAAGATGATAGGCAAGTTGCTGACAGAAGAGCATTATAAGATAATGTACTACAGACAGGCCATAAAGGATTTAGTATTAAGGCTTAAGGCTAAAATCCCACTCCTGAAGTTTATTACCCAACATTATTCCAGTAATGAGCTTTTTGATTTTTTCCCCCTAGCACTATTAAGATTAACTGAGGAACTGCCTAAATTCCCTAAACATGTTTCCAAGGACTGATTGTGTAAAGCAAGGAACAGGGGGACAGTTAGAAGCATGGAGGGAAGCAGTTTCTTGAGCCCTTCCACTATTAAATGTTGCGTGAAGCCCCTCAAATACATTCGGACACTGAAGAAATAAACAACAGCAACACTACTAATAATAAATAGTAGGGTATCCTACAGCATGACCCATAAATTTCCATTTTTCTGTAGTGTTTTGGACTATTCATTGTGTGTGTATTGTTTATACTAAGTTGTGCACAATGATGCTCTAGTCCATGTCAGAGGGGGTCTTAGGTGCTACAGTAATACAGACATATACTAATGATTATTCTTTAAATAACAATCTCCCTAACTCTTTTCACAGTCCCCAACTCTGAAAATCACTTACGCATGTGTTTTAGCACGCTCCTCCTTAAAGGGACACTTTTCTGAATTGAGGTGACTTTGACCATGCCTTTGTGATACCACTCCCTTCTAGCATTATCCAAAATATGAGGTGCAGCAGTTCTGAGACAATTAGAAGCACATTTAAACAAGGGAAACCTATTCACGATCTCCTACAGATGCCTGTCAAGGTTGTACAAAAACACTAAAAAAAAGGAAAGAAAAAAAAAGAACAAAATTGTAAAACCATAAAAAAAAAAAAAAAAGCTGCCAACTGGACAACATGGGGGAAGCAGTTCAGTCCCATGTTGGTTTGTTTTACTTTTTTCTTTTTTTCTTTTAAGCTATTTCTTAAATAATAAATGCACATGAAGTGTTAAATATGTATATACTGTATTTCAAAAAATTTAAAAAAATCAAACGAATGGGGCACAAGATTGTTCTATAAGTCGTGCTGGCTAATTTTTAGTTTGTATTCATAAGTGGTTTTTAAAAGCCTTTTTTAAAGTGTAATTTGCATGTTCTACTTTGATTGTATGTAAACATATTTTAGAGCAAAAAAATGTATTTGTATTTTATTGAATATAGAGGCAAGAAAAAAAACCTTGTACATTGTTTGAAATGTTCTTTTTGTAACAGTTTTTATTCATGAAGCATTTTTGTACATTTAAAATGGATATGGACTTGATGTTATTTGAGGCTTAGATACATCTGGCATGCTTTAATGTCATGCTCCTTCATGATCTTAGATGTTGGTTTTTAAACATTTTTTTCTAAAACAAAGCTCAGTCTTTTGGCTACCAAGTCTGGTTAGCACAGTATAGAGCACTTAACTAAAAAAAGAAAAAAAGAAAAAAAAGGAAAAAAAAGGGAAAAAAGAAAAGAAAAAAGTTAATCCTATTCATATGTTATTCATTGTGTGAAATTAAAGGAATTCAATTCAGTCTAACATGAGTTGTGAATTCTTTTGTCTTATTTTC